GCACGGGGCAACCACGCTTCACTGAGCCAAACTCCAGAAGGCAAGAGGGGGAACAGAACAGACATAAGTCCCAGATAAACCCAAACCTCACCTCAGCTACATGTTCCTTTCCCTGCTTCGTCTCCTTCCAACCACAAACACCCAACGGCAGGAAACAGAAGGGCGGAAAGGAAGGAGATATAGTCATGCCATCCAGAGAACAGAACCAACAAGAGAATTCTCACAGCCATCTGGATGCTGGAAAAACTCAACTTGTTCCAACATCAAACCCGTGCTGGATTCTGAATGGCAGTTTTGAATGAACACGTTCCGAAATCAAAGTCAACAGCAGCACTCGGCTACTCCTTTGGTCTCTCTGGACCTGCTCAGCCCAGTACTTGGAAGGGTTTCAGCCCGCAGGTTACATCAACTTTTGCATGCCACTCCGCGATGATTTCATGAAGACACCTGAGGGCTTTGTGGGCTGAAACAGGCCAGATCACTCCTGGCTCCATCATCGGTCTCTCCTTGATCTCACAGCACTTCCTCTTTCCCGCATCCGCATCCCGACCTTCTGTCTTCCTCTCTCTCTGCCGAAACTATTTACAGGCGTTGCTTAGGTAAACATCTATGACCACATGGCCAGTACAAAGGACTCGGCAGGCCCTGAGAAGATAACCTAAGGCAAGAGTCTTGTTCAGACTGAGCTCTAGCAGTCATTAATCGGCTAAAGGAGCTGTTACCCAATTCCTCTGTGCCTCCGCCCCTCACTCTGTAAAGTGGGGCCAAAGGCCCAACTAGTGAAGATCCTCAAAGTGGCTGGTACATCATAGTGTTCAATTAAAACACAAAAAGCCCTTCTCAACCATCTGAATGCCTTCAGACATTTTGGTTTACGCCCGAATCCAGATTCCGCTGCACTGTTTGCAGCAGAGATCACACAGAATCTCCAGAAGCTTCTCAAAAGTTCTGGAGTCAAACATGTCTGAAAAACCCAGGGCCTCACTTGGAAGGCTGTCATTCACATGAGTATAAGAAAGGCCTGCAGGAAATAAGCCTGCCTCCTTTTCCCAAGAGTCTGATTTACTCATTTAGTTTTGGTATAAAACCTCCAAGTAACTCACTGCAGATCTCCTGAACCTAGGGTGGAGAAGCGCTCTACACTGAACAGAAAGAGATGAGAACCAGGCGTGTGAACTGCAAAAGTGAAATAAGCACATCAAAGACAGAAGCTACAGGTGAAGGGGCCGGCGCTGTGGCATAGCAGGTAAAGCTGCCACCTGCTGTGCCAGCATCCCATTTGGGCACTGGTTCAAGTCCTGGCTTCTCCACTTCCTATCCAGCTCTCTGCTGTGGCCTGGGAAAGCAGTAGAAGATGGCCCAAGTCCTTGGGCCCCTGCACCCGTGTGGGAGACCCAGAAGAAGCTCCTGGCTCCTGGCTTCAGATTGGCTCAGCTCCAACCGCTGCAGCCATCTGGGGAATGAACCAGCGGATGGAAAATCTTTCTCTCTGCCTCTGCTCTTCTGTAGCTCTGCCTTTCAAATAAATGAATAAATCTTAAAAAAAAAAAAAAAAAAAAAAAACAACAACCTACTACAGGTGAATTACTTGGCATGAGCAATGGTCAGTCCCACACTTCTCTGAGGAGAAGGGGCTTAACCCAGCACTACCTCACAGAGGCGTCACGGGGGCTGACAAGGTGAGCATGCCTTTGCTGGCCAACTACTCACTGCTCTGCTTGTGATCCAGCTCCCTGCTAACGTGCCTGGGAAGGCAGTGGGAAGATGGCCCAAGTGCTTGGGCCCTGCACCCCCACCACGTGGGAGACCAGGAGGAGGTTCCTCACTCCCGGCTTCAGCCCGCTCCAGCTTTGGCTGTGGCAGCCATTTGGGGAATGCAGCAGCAGATGAGCTCTCTTTCTGTCTCTCCTGTCACTTTTTTAAAGCTTAAATTTTTTTTTTTTTTTTTGAAAGAGAGGCATCACAATCACCACACTAGCTTCTATTCCCCACTTCCGAGATGAGGCAAGCTTTTATGCTTCCCTCATCCGCTAGGGCAACAGGTGGGAGGCTTTGGGTTGAGATTAGAGCTGACCGTCCTACTGCCGTGTACTGACCCAAGGCCCTCAGCTCCCGATGCACCCCAGCCCCTACTCCTCAGGACACGCTGTCATCAGCGCTCCCCAGCCCACGCCACCCAGGCCTGCAGGGCTCTCAGGGCTGACAGAGTTCCCACTCTGCTTCAACTCCCCCACAGCTCGCAGCGCGGTCCACGAGACTAATGTATGCAATACTCGCTGGGCATTTATTCCTAAGTATCAGATACACTTAAACTCATTTCATCTTCCTTCTTTCACAGAGGAGGAAACTGATACAGAAGCTGAAGAAGTCGTCCAAACCACACAAGTGGCAGGTAAGTGAGATTCCAACCCAGACTCCAGAGCCCAGGCTTGCGCCGGCTCTCCTCGCTGCCACGCACATGGCAAGGTCTGGCCGTCCCGCAGTGTTTCCAGAGGCAGGCTCAACTGCAGTCGTGGCAGTCTTCCCAAGAGGGCCATCCTGAAACAGCCCTGACAGAGGTGACAGGTCGACTGACCAGCCCTTCCTAGGGCCCCAGGGCACACCAGGGCATTCCTGGGCCATGACAGCATAGGAAGCCTGCGGGGGCTGAACACCTAAGGGAAGTTAAAAATGGGCTCCCTGGAAAAGGCTGAACATCCTGGCCTGGCTATGCCATCCACAGGGTACCCGTGCATCACACACACAACACACTGCGTGAGCCTACGCAAAAAGCTGTCCACATCCGAGTGCACGGAAAGTCTTCGCCGGCCTCCTGCTCGTGGACCCACGCAGCAGTCTACTGTCTGAGTGCTGAAGCCAGCCTTCCTCTTGTCCCCTTTCCTCCTGGTTTTGAAACAGAACCCAGGGCCCAGGGCAGACACAGAACGGTGAGGACGGCGGGGATCCCAGAAGGAAGCTTTGACAGAAAGGGCAGTGTCAAGGGTCAGCTCTGAGCTGCAAAGCCTGCCTCAGTCATTGACCAGCTGAGTGACCTCAATCTAGCCCCACTTTCCTCCTCCGTAAAATGGAGCTGCTTTCACAAACAGAGATCATAACACTCATCTCACTAGACTGTTAGACAGGAAATGAGAGAAAGCACATCAAGCACTCAGCAAAGTAGCTGGCACCCAATAACCAGTCAATACACATTAGCTATTAATACCATCGGGCCACTCTAAATCCAAGAAATCAAGTGGCTTCCAAAGAAAAAACAAGCCTGATGGAGAGAGGGAGAACAGATTCAGTCAATCTTTCAAATCAGCACCTGACTCAACTGCCCTAAGCGGAAAATGGGATCTGAGGCGGTGAGCGCAACGCCCTTGAACTTCCACACCCCATTCACAAACGCTAGCAGTCTTCACCTTCTCTCCCGGCTCAAAGATCTCAACTCTTATCTGTTTTGAAAAGGTGGCGCTCAACAAGGTAAACGTAAAGATAGAACCAAGGAGTGAAGAAACACCAAACTAACCTGCCTGCTGCCATCTGCAAGTTCTGCAGCAGACACAATGTACACAGCAGGAACAAGGGGGAGAAGGCAATGCCAGTGACAACTGCCATGTCACTGCATGTGTAACTGCACGACCTAGACACCAGGCAGATGCCCTGGGAGCAGCGCAGGGGCAAAGCCCTCCCACCAGTATTCCTGCACGTGTTCTAAGGCTAGAAACTGCCAGACGGGGAAAGGATACTTTGTGGCCTTTTAGAGACACAGCCTCCTTTTTCTTTGTAACTGGTAGGTGTTAAGGACAGAAAGACCGCCTGTCCATCTCCCCATTTCTGGTCACGGTGAGTCAATCTGAATGAGGATATCCTAAAACGGCAAGGCTCTGAGGGCTGCCTGGGAGCCTCCTCGTTCATCAGGCTGGCCTGGGGGAGCTGGGAGAAGGTACAGGGACTCTCGGTGCTGCTACACACACACTGTCAGCCTCGGAATCTCCCTGGCCCTCGCCGACCCCAGGTACAAGCGCCTACATTGTCTTATGCTCCCCGAACAATTCCAATGGAGTAAGGAAGACCGTCACATCTCAATAGGAAGACTCCCTGCAAGTAACTTATGCTCTTGGAAGACCTGCCCCCAATATCCGGAAGATGCCGGCCTGTCCCAAACCGCTGAGCAAGGGGAGGTCCTGACGCCGAAGCCTGACAATGTTTACGTCCAAGAAAAATGAGGGTCCGTTCACTTTCGGGGAGGCAATTGTCTACACTGCTTATTTCTGGTCTGCTTTTTGGGAGGGGGCGGGGAAGAAAAATCTTCCCCCCGCTAAACACTTTGAAAACGAGAAGGCCCTAACTGCGGAGAAGCCTCTACACACTGGGACCTCCCGGTCAAGGCCAGCCAGGCACGGACTTATCCTGGGCTGGCCCTGGAAGGCTTGCTTCCCCACCTTCGTCCTCCGTAAGGGAAGAGGCCGGTAAAACTATTTTGGAAAAATGCCCAAGAAAGGAAAAAGCTGATCGGCTTCCTGAGGGTGTCTCCATCCCTCCCAGTCGGCGTGCGGTGACTTCCTACCAAAGGCCACCAGGGGAGTGCGGCCAAACCCCACTCTGCAGCACTGCAGGAAATGGCTCAAGCCGAAAAGCCACTTGTAGGATTATCGGATTCATTCTGGGCGCCGCTGCCAAGGGATGCCCCCGCAGTGCCAACAGCCCCCCTCAGCTCTTTGTCCCTGCCCTGCCCTTGCGCCTGGCCCGGGCGCCGGCCCCACCCTGGGGCCGCAGCAGTTCCCCTTCCCCTGGGCTGTCCTCCCACGGCACACCCAGAGGCCTGGATCAGTCGCTCGCCTCCCCCACGCACTCCCGGCTCGCCGGCGGGAACGACCCCGGCGCGGCAGGCTCTGCCCCCCTGCCCGCTGCCCACAGCCCTCGTCCGGGGTCAGCCTGCGAGGGGGGCAGCCGGCCCTGCTGGGAGCCCCGCGGCCCTCACCCCCCGCCCGGGGCCTCCCGTCCCGTCTGTCCCTCACCGGGCGGAGGCTGGGCGGGCGACGGTGGCACCGGCGGGCGCGGGCCGCTGCTGTTGATGATGTAGTGGGAGACGCGCGAGTTCTCGGAGACGCTGAGCACATAGTCCCCGGGGCTGGTGCTCGAGTCCCGCACCAGGAACACCCCGTGCCGCTGGCCCTGCAACAGCGTCACCGCCTCCTGCCGGCTCAGCCGCCCCCAGTACCAGCTACTCCGCTCCTCCGAGTCGAAGTTGCCTGCCATGGCCGCCTCCGCGCCTACACGCTGGGCCGCCGCCGCCGCGCGCGCCCCTCCAGCCCCGGCGCCCGCCGCCCAGCGGACCGGCTAGGGTCTCAGCCTCACAGCAGCGCCCGAAATGGCGGCGGCTGCCGCGGGCCTCCCCCCACCGGAAATGACGCGCTCCAGCCCGAGGGAGGCTGCCGGGAAGGCGACAACCGCCCGCCATTGGGAGAAGGGCAAGGGAGCCCACGCGCGCGCACTGCGCATGCGGCTTCTTGGGCGTCGCCGCCTGGCCCCGACCCCGACTGCGGAGGTTGGAGAGGCGGGGTGTAGGGCTGAGGGGCGGGGCGTCGCCCAGTGGTCCGCAGAGTTTTGAGTTTGCGCCGTTGACTCCGGGATCCCGGCACCAGGCTTCAGGTTCTCGCAAGGCCCAGGACTTTGGAGACAGCGACTCGCATCCAGAGCTGAAGTAGAGTGGCCCGGCCTTGTGGCGTAGCGGGTAGAGCCGCTGCCTGCGACACCGGCACCGGGGCGCCGGGGCGCCGGTTCAAATCCCGGCTGCTCCATCTCTGATCCAGCTCCCTGCTAAATGCCTAGGGAAATGAGCACCCACGTACCTGGGAGATCCGGATGAAGCTCTTGGCGTTGGCCTGGCCTAGCCCTGGAGTAGAAAAGATGGATGTGGTCCCTGACAAGACTCCCTAACATGTTGTCTTTTTCTGCTAGTTAGCCCAGCTTCCCCACTGAATTCTGTTTTCACTGATTCATTCAGCAACCTCTGACACCACACGAGGTGACCAGGCTGGGTCTTGCTCTCACATAATTCACAGGCCAGTAGGAGGAACCAGGAGACGGCCCCTGACACAGGTGTGAGGAAAATGACAAAGACCCAGAGCAGTCTCCTTAGCCAGACTATGAGGGAATCCAAGAGGGCTTCCCAGAAGAGGTGACTTGGGCTAAAGGGTGAGCGCGTGGCAGGGGAGGACATTCAAGACAAAGAGTTCAGAGACTGCCAAGCCTGGTAAAAGGATGGGGTTCTCCAGGTGGGACTTTGGCACAGGGGTTAAAGCGCCCACATCTCGTACCGTAGTGCTGGGTTCGAGTCCCGGCTCCACTCCTGATTCCAGCACCCTGCTAATACCCGCACCAGGAGGCAGCAGATGATGGTTCCAGTGGATGGGCCCCTGGCGCCCACGTAGGAGATTCAGACTATGGGGCTCTTCTCTCTATTGAGGCACTCGGGCCACCTGCTGGGGCTCCTCCCGCCCCTCAGTCGCGGCCACTGCCTGTGTGGTGGCCTCTTGGCCGCATCCGCGTGAGCAGCCTGCTCTCCCTCCAGCACTCCTGAGTCCGGCTGCCCCTCCCTGCACAGCTCCCAGCGCCCAGCGAGAGTTTGCTGTTGCTGCCCTCCAGTCTTCGGGTGTTAAAACGCTCCGTTTAGAGGCGGGCAGCGTGGGCCAACACTCCCTCTCTGCGTAGACCACAGCTGTGTCCTTATCATTTTCATGACAGTGATTACCCGTTGTACTGTCATTTTTCCTTTATGGCTCGTGCCGGAATTCCTCGAAGGTCAGACACCTAGTCCAGGAGGTACCCATTCGTGTCCCATGATAACAGCTCAGATAACCGAGGGATTACTACTTGCCAGGCACGGCGCCAACCGCCTTTACATGGGCATCTCATTTCATCCCCTCCACAACCTTGTGGGCCGGTATTTCACAAGGATCCCTTTTGTAGATAAGGAAACCGAAACTCAGAGGGTGTAAGAAACCTGTCTGGAGATACGCGGCTGCTGAATGAGGAAGTAGGATCCAAACCCTGGAATGAGAGAGGTGTGGTCATTCTGTCACAGACTCCGATTTCTGACTCGGGTAGATGCATCCTGCGTCCCAGCATCTTCCCCCAAGTCCCCCCCCACACACACACACTGGCTCCCAATTCCAGCTTCCTGCTGTTGCCCACCATGCATGCAGCAGCTGGAAACTCAAGTGGTTGGATCCCTCCACCCTCATGGCAGACCCCAACTGATTCTGAGCTCCTGGCTTCTGCCCGACCAAGCCCTGGCTGATTCAGGCATTTGGGGAGTGAACCAGTGGATGGGAAATATTGCTTTCTCTCCTCTCTCTCTCTCTCTGCCTTTCAAATAAAAATTGATTAAAATTTTTAAAGATTTATTTGGGGACCCGCATCGTGGCATAGGCAATAAAGCCGCCACTTGCAAAGCTGGCATCTGGAGTGGGTGCCGGTTTGTGTCCCAGCTGCTGTACTTCTGATCCAGCTCCCTGCAAATGGCCTAGGGAAAGCAGCGGAAGATGGCCCAAGTGCTTGGGCTCCTGCTACCTTCTTGGGAGGCCTAGAAGAAGCTCTTGGCTCTTGCCTTTGATGTGGTCCAGTGCTGGCCGTTGCAATCATTTGGGGCGTGAACCAGCAGAGATTGCCCTCTGTCTCTCTCTGTAACTCTTTCAAATAAATTAATTAAAATATGTAAAGATGTATTTATTTGAAAAGCCAATTAGAGAGACAGAGAGAAAAATTTGCATCTCTTGGTTCACCCTCAAATGGCTTAATGGCTAAGACTGGGCCAGACTGAAGCAAGGAGCCAGGAGCTTCTTCCAAGACTCCCATGTGGGTGCGGGAGCTCAAGGAGTTGGGCCATCTTCTGCTGCTTTCCCAGGTACATTCGCTGGGAGCTGGATAGGAAGTGGAGCAGCTGGGACTGGAACTGGCACCCATACTGGATGCCTGTATCTCAGGGGGCAGATCAACTCACTAAGCCACAACATTGGCCCTAGTTAAAAATTTTTACAAAGGCAATCAGCCGTGGATTGTGGTTTAGTGAAGTAGACAGGATCCACCTCACTTGCCCCAGGACTACTCTGGGAGGAGTGGGACAAGGGCACCTTCCCGGCTAGGGGTGACTCACTGTGACCCTGGCTTAGTCACAGCATGTCACTGGGCGCCAGCAGCAGAAGCCATCCCAGTGAGTTCTGGCCCTGTGGGAGAGAGGAATGCCTGCTCTTCCTTAACCAGGGTGGCTGGGCTGACAGAGCCAGGATCGCACGCAGACACTGCCTGCAAGGGGCCACAGCTGGACATCCATGCCCTCTTCCTGGGGTACATGGCTATGGGAAGGAAGTTTGTCTTGTTTTTAGGAATTATTTATTTGGGGGCCAATGCTGTGGCACAGTGGGTAAGCAGTGCTGGCATCTCATATGTGTGCTGGTTCGAGTCCCAGCTGTTCCACTTCCTATCCAGCTCCCTGCTAAAGGCCTGGGAAAGCAGCAAAAGATAACCCAAGTGTGTGGGTCCCTACACCCATTTGGGAGACCTGGAGGAAGCTCCTGGCTCTGGCTTTGGCCTGGCCCAGCCCCCACCGTTGCTGCCATTTGGGAAGTGAACCAGCAGATGGAAGATCTCTCTCTCTTTCCTTCTCTCTGTAACTCTGCCTTTCAAATGAACAAACTCCTTTTTTTTTTTTTTTAATTTTTATTTTTTGATAGGCAGAGTGGACAGTGAGAGAGAGAGACAGAGAGAGAAAGGTCTTCCTTTGCCGTTGGTTCACCCTCCAATGGCCGCCGCTGCAGCCGGCGCACCGCGCTGATCCGATGGCAGGAGCCAGGATCCAGGTGCTTTTCCTGGTCTCCCATGGGGTGCAGGGCCCAAGCACCTGGGCCATCCTCCACTGCACTCCCTGGCCATAGCAGAGAGCTGGCCTGGAAGAGGGGCAACCGGGACAGAATCCGGTGCCCCGACCGGGACTAGAACCCGGTGTGCCGGCGCCGCAAGGTGGAGGATTAGCCTATTGAGCCACGGCGCCGGCTCAACAAACTCCTTTTTAAAAAATTAGTGAAAAAGTAGCCAGTCCAGAGGCTGGCGTTGTGGCTTAGCTGGTAAAGCTGCCTCCTGCAACACCAGCATCCCGTGTGGGCACCGGTTGGAGTCCTGGCTGCTCTACTTCCAATCCAGCTCCCTGCTAATGGGCATGGGAAAGCAGCGGAAGATAGCCCAAGTGCTTAGGCCCCTGCACCCACATGGGAGACCCAGAAGAAGCTTCTGGCTCCTGATTGGCCCAGCTTCAGCCGTTGCGGCCATTTGGGGAGTGAACCAGCGGTTGGAAGCACTCTCTGTTTTTCTCTCTCTGTTTTTCTGTCTTTCTCTCTATATAACTCTGCCTTTCAATAAGAATTTGAGGATTTCCCATCTGCTGGTTACTCCCCAAATGGCTGCAACAACTAGGACTGGGCCAAGCCGAAGCCAGGAGCCAGGAACTCCCTCTGAGTCTCCCACATGGGTGACAGGGCCCCAAGCACTTGGGTCATCTCCCGCTGCCTTCCCAGGTGCATTAGCTGGGAGCTGGATTGGGAGTGGAGCAGCCAGGACTCAAACTGGTACTCATACGGGATGTTGGCACTGCAGGCAGCAACCTAACCCACTGTGCCACAACTCCAACCCCAAATAACACTTTTTAAAAATAGCAAATGGTCTCTCAGCTCCTGGTGTGTGTAGGGGCGGGGCAGGGAGGGAGTGGAGGGGTCTCTGTGAAGGAGGAGCAGCGTGGATGTGGAAGGCTGCCCCCGTCCGGAAGACAAACACACCACGGCCGCCACTCATCGCTCTCCCGGCCAAGGGCCAATGGTGCTTATTTTAGCAGCAGCCACCTGCCCGCTCGCCTGTTCTGTGTCTCGTAAACTGACCTGCGCTGCATGATAGATGCAAATAGAATGCTCTGGAGTTAGGCTACTTATTCCTACTTACCCTTCTATTTATTGTAAAATTTACTTACTCTCATTTTACTTGAAAGGCAGAGAGAGAGAGAGAGAGAGAGAGAGAGAGATATCTTCCAGCCCTGGTTCACTCCCCAAATGCCAGCAACAGCCAGGGCTCAGCCAGGCCAAAGCTAGGAGCCCGAAACTTCTTCCTGGCCTCCCACCGGTGGCAGGGATCCAAGGGTGTGCCCTAGCAGGAAGCTGAAGTAGAAGAAATAGCCAGGACCCTTCACCACTGTGCCACACAACGTTCACTTTTCATTTCTATATTTTAAAGATTTATTTATTTGAAAGTCAGAGTTAGAGAGAGAGAGAGGTCTTCTATCCGCTGGTTCACTCCCTAAATGGCTGCAAAGGCCAGAGCTGGGCCAATCTGAAGCCAGGAGCCTGGAACTTCTTCCAGGTCTCTCACAGGG